CCCCAAAACCCCAAAACCCCAAAACCCCAAAACCCCAAAACCCCATATTTAAATTAAACAGTTGAATTTTGAATTAATAAATGTTATTTCTTTCCAAACATTCCGAAAAGCCCTTTTCCAGATTTTGCTTTCTCCCCAGTTCCAAATTTATTCTTTCTGACTTTGTCAAGCTCATTAATTTCATAAGTGCTGAACCCAAGCATAGAGTAGACTACCAGGAGGACACTCTCATTCTCACTGTTGGTCCTAGGAGTGTTAGACAGGTAGGTCTTCAAGGTACCCTTGATACCTTCAGTATTCTCCTTCATTTCAGCTTTCAGGGCTTCAAGTTGTTCCTGAAGTTTACCAGTATCACCTGCTTTCACAAGCGCAGTCTGGAGTTCAGTATTTGCCTTGCTGGCAGTCTTGTATTCTTCTAAAGTCTTGTTAAGTCTCTCACTGATTTCACCCTTCTCTTTCTCTATATTCGAGAGATTCAGCTGAAGTTGGTCAGCCAATAGAGATTTGTTAACAAAATCTTCCTTTATTTTCTCAATTTCTTCCTTTGATTCTACATCACTGGTCTGGGATTTAAGCTGAGCAATCACTGTTTCTTGTTTCTCATTATTCTCTTCCATAAGTTTGATTTGGTCCTGAAGGGTTTTTAATTCAAGCTCCCAGTTTTCTTTCTGGTCATTAAGGTCCTTCAATTGTGTCTCTAGTGAAGTTTTGACTTCCTGAAATTCTTTCTCAAGCTCTTCTTTCTCATCAAATGCGCTGTCTCTCTCTTGCTCTGCTCTCATGATTTCTCCTCTGTATTTTCTATCTTTATTCTCACCTAAGAATTAGAGCCAAAATTTACTTGATGTGATTTCATTGCTGAGTTGATTCTCTACTTCTTCAAGACGTTCTACTGCTTCCTTCTGTTCTTGGTATTCTAAACAACTATGAAAACTTGAAATACCTGTTACTAGAACCTTCAATTTCTTAAGCATATCTGTTTCTTCAATGTCAGGAACGGAGTCTAATAACTCCTGTAAGGAGTTGATCTTCTCTGCCAATTTCTGGTTCTCTCTCAGTTCATCTTTTAACTCATCAATTTTATCATTCAGTGAGTCAATGACAGTATCTTTTTGTTTGATGAGTTGTGTCTTCTTCTCTTCTAGCTCTTCTCGTAGTTTCAGATGATTCTCTTTCTCTTGCATCACTGATTCTTGGACTTTATGCTTATCTTCTTTAAGAGAATCAATAGTTTTCTCCAAATCCTTCTTGGTAGCCTCTAAGTCATTAACTTTCTTGGTTAATTCAGCTGCATTTTCTTTAGAAGCAGAGATATCTGTTTCTAATTGAGAATTTTTAGATTCTAATACCCTGGCTGTTTCTTTGTACTCGTTGCATTCCTCTCTCATTCTTTCAGTATTAAGGCTGCTCTTTTGGCTCTTCTTTTCAACATCTTCATTAAGGATTTTATATCTCTCTTCTGCTGCTTCTTTCTCCTCCCTAGCATCAGAGAGAGATTGCTTGTAGCCCTGGATTACCTTGTTCAAATTATCAATATCATTCTGAAGGCTGTCATAGTTCTTCTGCTTCATGCTCCTCCCTTCTACTTCAATGTTAAGCTTCTGATTCAACCTGTCAATTTCACTTGAGAGCTCATCTTTTTGCTTCTGGAGAGCCTCTTTTTCAGTGACACTAGATTTATAATCCTCCTGGCATGTTTTAAGTTCCTGAGTGAGAGACTCTACATTGGACTCGAGAAGAGGGACTTGGCTCATAGCCGACTCTAATTCAGAAACTTTCTCGATTTTCTCATTCAATGAGTGTTTGTATTCTAAAGATTATATTGGAAAAGTACCTTCAATCTCTGTTTTCTTCTGTTCAATGATCATCTCCTTCTCTTCGATTTGGGAATTCATCTCGGTCAGACCAGCTTGGAATTTCTGAGTCTTTATCTCATCAATTTGGGTATTCAAGGAATGGATCTTTTCAAGATGCTCAGCAATGTTTTCCTCTAGTTCGATAATTTGAGAATTCTTTGAAGAAATCTTTGTGTTAAGAGTCTCTACTTCATTCGTCAAGTTAACATTTTGCTTCTTCATTTCTGAGCAATCTTTTTTCAAGGTAGTTAATGAAGTCTGAGATTCTTCTGATGTACGTTTAAGATCATCTCTCTCCTTCTCTACGTTGGAAAGATTCTCTTCAAGAGAAGTAATTTGCTCTTCCATTTCATCTATCTCCTTTTGGAAGCAATTTGCAAGCTCAGAATTTTGGAGGTTTTCTGATGTGGTACTCTTGAGAATATCAGATGTTTTAGTTAACTCTTCTCTAGCAGATTGTAAAGAAGCACTAATAGTCTCTACTTCTTTATCCCTTTCTGAAAGCTCTTCTTTTATATCTTTCAATTGCGAATTAGTATTTTCAAGTTCTCCTTGTGTTTTCTTTAGCTCAATCTTCGACTCTTCCAATCAGCTCTCGGCTAATTCCTTCTGTTCCTTAATAATCACAAATTCCTCGTTCATTTTCTCATAATCATCTTTGACTTCTTCATATTTACCCTTGACTTCTTCATATAATTTCTTCGTCTCCTTTAACTCTTGTTCCTTGACCTTGTATTTTTCTTCGGAATTCTCCAGCTTCTCTTCTAGATCTCCGATTGTCTTCTTGTGCTGCTCAAGGTCCTCTTCAGAAGAAGCAAGCTTCTTCTGAAGAGCTTCTGCTTCAGCAGCAGCAGCGCTCTGAAGCGCCTGGCTGGTGGAGAAGGTCTCTTGGGAAGAAGCTAGTTGGGACTCAAGGGATTTGAGAGAGGCAGAAGTGGAGGTGAGAGATTCTTGGGTGCTAGATAGGGTAGATTTTGTGGTTTCAAGGTCTTTTTGAGTAGTCTCAAGTTCTTCTTTAGTAGTTTCAAGTTCATTTTTAGTAGTCTCAAGTTCTTCTTTTATTAGTTCTAATTCTTGTTCTGTATTATGAAGTTGTTCTTTCTTCTCTAAAAGCTGTTTATAATCCTTCTTCATTGTTTCAATTTCATTTAATTTTTCCTCAACCTCATTCTGTAGCTTCTCAATTTCTTCTACTTTATCTTGAATATCCTGATCCTTTTCCTGAACCTCAGTATTCTTTATCACAACTTCTTTCTCTTTCTGCTGAATTTCCTTCTTTATTTCCTCTATTTCTAACCTCTTTGCTTCATTATCCACCTCAAGTTCCTCAATCTGAGTCTTCATATCTTCCATCTGACTCTTCATCTGCATGGCTTTATCAGCCATCTGTCCAAGTTGTGTCTTCATTCCATTGGCTTCGTTTTCTTTTTGTTGGAGTTTTTTCTCCATTTCAGCAAGTTCTTCTTCATCTTCTTGTTGGTATTGCTTAGCTCTCTTTCTGATCTTCTCTTTAATCTGTTCTCCCAAAGCATTTTGCTTCTTTAGAATTATAATGGATGTGTTTAATTCCTGGATCTCATTTTGGAGCTTCTCGATACTTTCAGTGTGATCTTTCTTTAGTTTTGAAACAGCCTCTTCGTGGCTTGTTTTAAGATCGATCACGTATTTCTCCATATCGCCATCTTTATTCTGGGCTTCTTCCTTAAGGGAAGTGACTAAGCTGGTCTTAGAGGCCTCTTGCTCTTCGACGATCTCTTTGATTTTTACATTATAGGATTCTTTTATGCTCTCAAGACCTACGGAATGTTCTGTTTCAAGGATCTGGATCTTCTCTTCCTTCTCTTTATGGACGGACTGGATTTCTTCACTGTGTTTAGTCTTGATTTCTCCAATGGAAGCCTTGAGAGTCTTGATCTCTTCAGCATGCTGGAGTTTAAGATCATCTAATTCTTGTTTGGTCTTTTCCTCATTTTGCTGGTAGTGTTCTATTGTGAGAGCGTTGTGACCTTCAAATTCTTCAATGTCTTTATTAAGACTCTCAATTTCATCCTTTAAGGTATGAATTTCATTATCCCTAGTGGCTATCTCCTCTGAGTACTTCTTGATCTTATCTTCATGCTTGATGACAATCTGCCCTAATGAGGATATTTCTGTAGATTTAGAAGCAATTTCAGTTTCATTTAACTTTTGCTGGTCTTTTAAAGACTCTATTTCAGAAATCAACTCTTCTTTATTAGCCTCTAGGGTAGAAATAGTCACTTTAGCAGCTGATAAAGACTTCTCAGCTGCTGAGAGGTTTACAGTCAGATCTTTAAGCTCAATCTTAGCTTGATTTGATGCTTTCTCAGCACTTGAGCGGAACTCTTTGTGTCTTTCAACATCTTTTTCTAGTCTTTCAATGGTTTCTTGGAGCGAAGATGCTTCAGATGCTTTCTCTTGCTCAGCAGATATCTCTTGCTTTAGTTTTTCAATTTCATTCTCAAGAGCAGGAACCTTATCTAATTCGGTCCTAAGATCCTTATTCTCTGATTTTAACGATTGAATTTCAGCCTCTAATGATTCAAGAGATTTCTTGGTGCTAGACAAGGCATCATTTGATTCAGAATGATTTTGTTTTAAACCATCAATTTCCTCTTCCTTTGCAGTGATCTGAGAAGTTAATGAACTAATTTCTGAATCCTTCTCAGATACAATTGTATTTAGCACAGTTATTTGTCCTTCTAAGTCCTCAACCTGAGCTGTTAAGTCTTCTATCTCAGTAGCCTTATTCCTGATATCTTCGTCTTTCTTGGCTAAGTCAGATTCTTTATTTTCTAAGTCTGCTACTTTTTGAGCTTTTTCGGCCTCCTTTTCTTCCGCTTGGGTTTGTATTTCTTCTAATTTCTCTTGCACAGCTTGTCATTCTTCCTGTTTGTTTAGTAACTCCTGCTCATTTTCTTGCAATTTATCTTGGTTTGTTTTTAATTGATCTTGAGCTGTTTGTAACTCTACTTGGATTGTATCTATTTCATCTTGTTTATTCTGAAGGTCAGACTCTTTTTGAGAAATATCAGCCTTAGCCTTGTCTATTTCTTCCTTCATGCCTTGGATGATATCTTCGAATTCTACAATTCTATCCTTAGACTCTTGTAGGTCGGTCTCTAGCTCTTCATGGAGGGATACTAGTTGATCAATTTCAGTTTCATTTTTAGCATTGTTCTCTTCAAGAGTTTGAACTTTTTGTTTATAATCTTCTTTTTGAGCTTCAAGTTCTTGGGATTGCTTGTCAGATAACTTGATTTGGTCCTGGAGCTCTTGGACTTCGCTCTCTAGTTGTTCTTTGTCTGATTCTAAAGAAGATATTTGAGCCATGAGATCTTGTATCTCCTCGTCTTTGGAGGTAATAATCTTGATTTTCTCTGCAAGGGCTTTCTCTTGGTCACTAGTACCAGCTAGTTGAGTTTCAAATTCTTCCTTGACTTGTTTAATCTTGTCCTCATATTCTTCTACAAGTTTATCCATTTCGGATTTGTGAGTATTTTCGATTTGCTCTATTTTCTCTGTATTTTCTTTCTCAGTCTCTTCCAGAAGCTCTTCAAGTTGTTGGATCTCTTCAGAATTTTGACCTTGAGAATCTTGGACTTGGGCTATTTCTTTTTCTTTATCTTCTAGCTCTTGTTGAACTTTCTGTAATTCAGCATCTAAATTCTCTTGGTCTTCTTGTAAAGCTTGGATGTTAAGTTCAGCTTCCTTGAGGTTCTTTTCAAGCTCATCAATTTTGGCTTGCTTCTTCATGATAGTTTCATGCATGGAGTCTCATTTCTTTTGTATAGAATCAGCTGATTTCTTGCTATCGGTCTTTTCCTCTTCGGCTTGGCTGAGCTGGAACTCAAGTCTTGAAATATCATTTTCAGCTTTTTGTTTGTACTGATCAAATTCATTTTCAGTAGCGAAATTCTTCTTTCTGAACTCCTGCATTTCATGTCTGAGTTCTTTGTTTGTGTTCTCAAGCTTCTTCTCTTTCTGTTTGAGATTTCTGTGGAGATCACTCGTGTCATTGCATCGCTTTTGGAGTTTTTCAATTTCATTATGAAGTTTCTGGATTTCAGCTTTATCTTCAGAATTTTGTTCAATTGGTTTGTTGTCCTTTAGAGCTTCTAAGGCTTTAGTCAGCTTAGCATTTTCCTGCTCCAATGTCACAAGTTTTACCTGATCTTGAATATTTTTCTCCAGGGACTCTCTTTCAACTTGCTTAAAGTTTTCTAGATCTTCCTTCATTTCATCAAAGTTGTCATCAAGTTTGGCTTTGGCTTTCTGCAGAATTCTAAGTTCCTTTACAGAAGCTTTGTATTTCTTCCATAATTCTTCAGTGCCTGCCTTAGGATCAGTTTTGAGTAGATCCAGGAGTATCTTGTCTCTTTCTTTATCGGCTGAGTATTCCTCTCCAGTTCCGTCATCAGCAAGAGTTTTGGAAAAGTCTATCCCTCTTGAGGTTGCTATATAATAAGTCATATGCTGATGAGTGTAAGGCTTACCTTCAACTTGTTCGACGAGCTGTGTGTTGATGCTAGAGATACTCAGAGATTTATTTTGAATCTTAAGCTCACTAATCTCCTCCATGAGTTCTTTCTCTTTCTTCTTATGGTCTTCTATAAGTGAAGTCCTGAGAGTGAGCTCATTTTCTTTCTGACGCATTGTTTCCTTCAGTTCTTTCTCAGTGTTCAGTTTCTGAGACTCTAGATCCTGGATCTTGAGTTTCTCAGCCTGGAGTTTCTTCTGAGTTTCGAATAATTCCTTATTGAACTCCTCTTGCTTAGAAATGATACTCTGTTCTAGATCTGTGATCTTTTTGAGCTGGTCTTGATGAGCTTTATTTAGCTCTTTTACTTCGTAATTCTTCATTTCGTTTTCTAACTCTGTAGCTTTTTGTTTAGAGAGAATATCTTTGTAGCTCTTTTCTGATGCTTCACAATCTCTTTTGCACTTCTTCAATTCTAGATTGAGGTCTTGGATTTCACGAATTTTGGATTCCTCATTTTGTATGGATTTATCAAGAAGATCTTCAAGCTTTCGTTTTTGATCAAGGAGTTCAGAGATTTGTGACTGGCCTCTCTCTTCATGAGAATTCTCAAGAGCAGATTCCATCTCAAGAGACCTCTGATATTCTCTGTTTGTCTCTGCTAAAGAGTTGTCGAGCTCTTTTAGTTTATCTATAAGAGAGCGTTTCATTTTGTTGAGAGATATGGTTTTGGAGTTCAAGTCATCTGTAATGGTATTTAGTCTGGTCTTCAATTCATTTTCTTTTCCCTCAACCATTTGTACTAAGGCTACCTTGAGAGATTCATACTGGACTTTGGTGATATTTACAGTTTCATCAGAATTTTCTTGTTTATGAGAAGGTTTCATTCCAAATGTTGTTCTTGAAAGATCCTGAGATTTTGCAGTTTGGGCAGCATTCATCTCGGGTCTGTGATCAGGGCTAAACATCTTAATATCTCTTTGGTTGAAGTCTGGTTGTCTCATACCATGTCTGGTCTTGTCATCAGAGATATCTAGCTCTTCTCTGTTGGGATTTTGAATTAAGCTTGCAAATGTTTTGGATACATTCTGTGTACCAGCAGCACTCTTATGTCCAGGCTTACTCTTTGAAGTATTTTTCCCTCTAGATTTGCTCTTCAATCCTTTATTCTTAGTAGGTGTTCTACTATTCGAGGAATAAATCCTTGAGTTTGAATAAGTACCAGCAGGGGAATGAGATCTTTCTTTACTTCTAGATTGAGATCTGTTGCTATTAAACTCTTCCTTTAAGCTTCTGCACCAATCTTCCAGTTCCTTCTTGCACCTCTCAAATTCTATCTTGAGTGACTTATTGTTGGGATCTTTGTTTTTGATTCCTCTCTGAAGCCTTTTCATCGCTAAAAGGAACCGTTTAACATGTATCGTTGTTGACTCAAGCTTATTCCTTAATAAGTCAGACTCTTGGTTAGCTCTTCTGATATCAGGATCAAAATTGTCCAAGCTGAATGCATTATTCCCACTGGATAGCATATTCTCTCTGTAGTAGGTCAAAGTATTGCATTCTTGCTCCAGCTTCGAGATTTTATCCTTCAAATTCTGATTTTCAGAGGTGATCTCTTTGAGGTCTCTCTTTACTGATGTCACACGGTTGGGAGATTTCCTGCTTTTCAAGGTATTGATCTCCTTCTGTAGGTTGCTAAGTTCCTCTCTCAACTTTTTGCCTTCAAGCCTTTCGTTGAAGTATTTATCATTTGCAGCTCTGAGCTCTTTTAGCAAAAGTTCGTTTGTCCTTTGAAGGTCTTGCATTTTGATGGCATCAAATGAAGTACCGTCAGGAGAGAATTCTCTCATTTGATGTTTTCCAGAAATTTCTTCAGAATAGAAAGATCCTGAGTGAGGTCCTCCTCTCTTTCCCATGATTTTAGAGTCCTGGAATAATGGTTTTGGATGCTCTTCTCCATTATTGATCATATCTTTAATAAGCTTAAGAGCTTCATCTGACATATAGATAAAGGAGAACTGATCATTTTCGTTGTCTTCAATAATTTCCTTCAGACCTTCAAATTCTTGCTCTCGTTGTTGAAATGCTAGGCATATGTTGTTAAATGATACTTCGAGAGACTTCATTTTCTCCTTTAAAGCAGAGAAACTCCTGTTGTCAGTAGTGCTTCCAGCTCCATAGCTAGACCCAGACCTCGTCTGGGATTTTCTCTCTTCAGCATTTTTCTTATATTGTGCTAGTTTCATATCAAATGCTGTTGGAGTATATTTTGAATTAGAAGGATTATATCTTGAGCGGGAATATGAAGAAGAGGTCTGTCCGCTGCTGTTATCCCTCATTTTGCTCTTATTCCTAACTATTGATCTAGCTGAATCAAAGAGAGTCTGCATCGAAGAGAGATCACTTCTTATATAATCAGTCTTGTGCTTCAAAGATAAGACGCTATTCTGCAAGTTTTGTGCATGTTGTTCTGAAGTAATCTTGAATTCTTCCAACACTTGTCCAAAAGCCTAGAATGAGGTTAGAATATTAAGATTTAATTGCTCTATCTACCTATTTACTGTCTAATACAAAATAGACTACAGCCATTTATAAATATCTTGTCTATCAAATAGGGAGTACTTACTACATCAGGAAGAATTCCTTCTTGGATCTTTTCCAGCAAGAGGTTATTCTCCATACTCTCATTCATGCTCTGGTGGAGAGAGCGTCCTTGAGAGACCTCATCCATCTGTACCGGATGCTCCTCAAATTGTTGTGGGTACATTTTTAATATAAATATTATTCATTTAAATCTTTCTTTAAGGGGTTTTGGGGTTTTGGGGTTTTGGGGTTTTGGGG